AGAATCACTGATCCATTGAAATGTTCGTCACGTGTTAAAAAATATCAACCGTTTATTCTTCTGTATGTCTTGTAATCTTATTCAAGTTCGTCCAACTCACATATCATTTTTAACAGTCGCACAATCTAACCATTAGAATATACTACAACTTAATGGTGAAAAGCCAACATATAATTGTCAATCATTTCAGTCGATGTGATCTTTTGGAGAAGATTAACTTATCATCACTAGAATTATCCGATCATTAAGGCTAATCTTCGTCCTGATAATTATTTTCATTTCCACCTAGTCGAATAAGTTTTAAATTTAACTCACATGAATGCGAGGTCAATACACACTTGTAACCGACCACATTGTGAACAGTAAAAAATCCTTTTATTGCTGGACAAGGACTGTCTACTCTCTAATTTTCCATATCCTCCTGTTTTGTGTGGTCACGGTTAAGTCACGTTAACATTTTATATTATTTTTTTATAAAGATAATAAAACAAAAATAAATAGTAATATAAAATATTAACGTAATTTAACCGTGACTATATAAACAAAAGAGCATGGAAGATCATGAAAAAAAGGGGCAGACAATCCTTGCCCTTTACTGCTAGTAGTAACAAGACCCAGCACAGTAAAAAACATTCCACTACTTATCCAATATTCTTACTCACAACCCAAATGGGACCCACAAAAGTAACGTTCCTTCCTTCCCCCGCTAGATCAGTTGTTACAGAATATAAATCCCAGCGACTCTACTTCTCCCCTCCATTTTTTTCCCTTCATTTCTTACTCCGCAGGGAAAAATCCTCCGCTTCCCTCCAAAACGGTACGTTTCGTTGCTCCCAATCTCAGATCTGAATCGCCCTTCTCCTCTGCTCGTATCATTTTTTAATTTGCGATTTCAATTTTTTTAGATTTTTGTAAAAATTTGAATTTGTTTGCAGTAAATCGAATTCAAAGATCAAATAAGCTTCGCCGGGATCGAATTCACCCATGAATGCTCGAAGGTTAGCTCGGTTCCGATTCCGATACGAATCCGATTCATTTGGTCTTTACAAGTTATAGTTTTTTGTTTTCTAGAACATTCTGAAGCAAATTTACCTGATTGTGTTACGTAAATAGTAAAATTGTACTTAGATCTGTGTATATAGTGTGGTTTTCGCTATGCGATTTTGATGCTTGGTGTGTGTACTGATTAGTAACTGAGTGATAAACGTTGAGAATTTCGTGAACTTGAAAACCCGTTTTGGAATTGGGTCTGTGATCATTTTTGGGTTAGTTTTCGGGTTCAATCAGTGTTTCTGTTGAGTTATGTTTAAGCTGTTTTGGACCGATTCGAGTACGAGTTGCTTTCGGTTGTACAAAGTAAAACGAGATTTATATTCGAGTAAGCTTTCATTCGGCATGGAGTTGCCTGTTTGGGATGTCTTAACAATAATTTGATGAGAAAAGGGTTTGATTGATTGGATACTGCAACCTCTTTTATTACTGGTGCTTGTTACCGAAGCTTTTGTTATTTTTTCACCCGAAAAAAGGATTCTGTTAAATTTTGTGAAGCTTTCCCATGTTACATTTGTAGGAAACATCTCTTGTGAATGTGGCATGTTTCGTTTACATTACAATGAACTTATCTATTTATGTTTAGGGACTTCCGTGGCAACAAAGTTGCTCTTTTTGATGGCATTGAGGAGGGCGGCATCAGGTCCTCAGCTTCCTACTCACATGAAATTGATGAACATGATAACGAAAGGGCAGTGGACGGATTGCAAGATAGAGTCAATTTGCTGAAGAGAGTAAGCTCTGCTCTCCTTACCCCTCATTCCCTTGTCTTTCAATGCCTGGAAACTTTGAAAGTTGTAATGCAAGTCTTACTGTTCCGGTTTGTTTACTACCTTTGAATACATGGTTTTTGAGTCATGATATTAATTAAGATTTTGTGTTGTTGTCTAGTCAGTGCATGATTTCTTCAAATTTTTTAATACCTTGAGGAGGAAGATTGTAGCATTTGTAGTATGATTATGTGTTAAAATCTTGCATAACGTCTTGATCCTTACCTTTTCTTTATTGGGAACAAATAAAGCAACTATGAAATCCTTCTATTAGGAATACGGGTTTGTATGATTCTTTGGCTTTTCTTTTTAACAAAGTTACTAAACATTTATAAGCTAGATTTGACAAAATATTATCTGAAGATTTATAGCAATTGATGTCAGTATTTTTATAGCTTCATAGGTTTTAATATATCCCCGCCAAATATTTATCCATTTCTCTCAAACAGTTGTCAGGTGATATACATGAGGAGGTGGAGACTCATAATCACATGTTAGACAGAATGGTATGTATGCTGCTGCTAGCCCGATTTTTATTATAGCGTTCTCTACCATAGAATTCAATTTACATTTGTTTTGGTCGGACAATGGTACAAGTTGTTTTAATAACGTGCATTGTCTAATTCAGGGAAATGATATGGATTCATCGAGGGGAGTGCTATCTGGTACAATGGACAAGTTTAAGATGGTACGTACACTTGATTTCTGTTGTTGTCCTCCTATCCAAATTTATCCTTTTCCTTCTGAGGTTATAGGGTTCTTTCCTTCATTCATCCGTCTCAGGGTCCCTTTCTGATTCCTGATGTCCTGACGGGTTTCGTTTTGTTCAGGTTTTTGAGACCAAGTCAAGCCAGAGAATGTTTACACTAGTTGCATCGTTTGTGGTCATTTTTCTAGTCATATACTATCTCACTAGATAATTAATCCATGATGGTTTTGGTACAGCCACTAGTTTTAAGCTGAATATGGGAGATGCTTTGCTTTTAGCTGTGATCCGATGTTTAAATTCTGCTTGTAAAGATATTCTCGTATGTTTGTATAAAGATTATCGATCTTCTAATTATGTTTAGCTGCAGAGCTAATTAAGTGCATAAATCTTTGTTCGGCGAGTCTGTTTCAATCAGTTGCTGTGTCCTTCAAGCTCCACCTAGGTTGTACAGTTGTACGGTCTTTGAGTCGAGTAATATTGCGACTAGTTTTTTCAAAGACAAGATTTGACAAGCTGTTGTCCTTTGTCAACTCGCAGAACAATAAGAGAACCACTAATGTTGACGACGGCGATCAGCCTCTTTCGATTTCATTTTCGCATCCTCTCATCAAACCTCTTTTAGTTGACTCTTTTTTCTTTATTTGACTTCCAAACGTCCTGAATATAAGAACAAAATGGGGGCTTAAAATCTTTAAAATCCTCTCATCGAATATTCAAAATGCAGTTGATTGACTTCCCTTAATTTGTTTGTACAATGACAGGTTTACATGCATGAACTCTCGGGAACATTAAAGTAATTTAGAACCTTAAAATGCAATTTACAAGTGTTCAATAGATATGGCGGAGCCAAAATCTTGCTTTACAAGAGGCCTTTCACAAATCTGAAACTTTTATTTTTAACACCTAAGATATTGTGTAGGTTGATTGTATTTTTATTTATTTATCTCATATTGCATCGATCATATAATCACTTAATCCGAATAATACTTAAGAGCAGAGCTTAAGAAAAGAGACAAACGATGGACTAGAAGTTCAAGCCAACATTCCTTAAGCTTAAAAGCAGTCAGTGATAAATCCTGACTATTAGATTCAGAAACTGTGCTCGAAAACTCCGACCTAAATTAATCTCCACCACCCAAAGGGGAACTTGAAGTAATTAACAAGTAGAAGAAGGTACATCATTATACGTAGAATAAGAGAATCTCACATCCAAGGACTCTAAGATTGCCACTAAACTTACCAAAAGTAAAAGGAGTTTATGCTATATCTTATACATAGAAAAGAAAATAAAAAATTGCAGGATAGGCCTAGGACTTCCCTAGTCCCGTAGTGGCTCCGCCATTGTTAATAAGAGTAGGGTTTGGTTGCTTTGTAGCCAAATCCGAATCACTATTACCGTAAATTTGTAAACAAATTCAAAATACGATTACCGTAAATCAAAGCAATTTAGAAAAACGCATTCTGAGAAGATATTCCCTGGGCTGCCGGCTGAACGGCCTTCTTTAGCACGACATGAGTTGATCTTGTGGTTGTGGACTTGTGGTTGAAGTAAGAGCTGGTCAAAGCCGCTCCATAGTCATCATTAAATCGTTCACTGCATTTAGTCCCATGGCGGCCATGGCCTGCATGCAGAAAATTCTTCAAATATTAGTTCTTTGGTCAAGTCAGGTGTGTGTGTGTGTGTATATACATATGTATGTATATATTAATACGTTTAGCCGATTATGTACGTATAATATTTTGTAATATAGTTTAATATATATTCAGCCTACATTTCCGTACGGTTTTTAATTTGAGTGTCCATTATATATCAAGGATATAATCAGAGTACTGCAGTCTGCAGATATATCACAAATTAATCATTACTGCAGTCTGCAGATATACATATACCCAAATGCAAGAAAATATTATTGCAACATTTACTTCTGCACCAAATTAATGTCTTAGCTAAGTTCGACTCTCATCTCTATGTACGTGTGGGCACTATCATTTGTATGAAATAAAGGATCTTTCATTCTTGGTTTTACGATTCCTTTCCAAGTGAGTAAATTAGTACTGCTGCTGATTGTTTTATCATGTAATGAAAAGTTAGAAACTGCATCGTTGTAGGTTAACCTTGAAAATGTTCCCAAAGCCCCACAAAATATGCCACTTGTTTTCCCAAATGATCAAAAAAGTGGAGATATATTACATACAATGTAAAAGAGTGCCAAGTTTATTAGAGGACTGTGACAGCTACAACTTAAGAGTGAAAATTAATTTGTTATTGTATAGGTATACAGAGTGACACTAAAATCGAGTTGAAAACCTTAGACAATTAATTATTCAGACTTTCGTATCACACTACAAGAAAATATATTTTTCCCCAAGAATTTTGAGGTATGAAACAAATTTCCTCGGCACATAGCTTATGTGTGCAACATAAAATTCATATATCAATTCATATACGATCGAAAATCCTAAGTCCAGATTCCAAATCTCTCTAATGTAACCAAAAAAAGAATATATAGTTTAATCTAAAATCTCAGAGCTCACCTGAAATGTGAATGGCAAGTTGGGGTTGAACAATCGAGGTACAATGACCAATGGTATGCGATGATTTAGATGTACACGGGACCATTTGGCACAGATCATAGGGCACAAGAAAAACTTGACATGTAGAGTACTTGAAAGTGAATCAAGCAAGCTTCCCCAATTAGTGTTAACTATTTCCTGTACTTATTCATTTTCTTGGAAAAAAAAAGAAGCAATTAAACATAACTGACATATAGGTTAATGAAGCAAGAATTCAAGCAAATTAATTATGTAATGCTGGATAATTAGAAATTTCAATCTTTTCATACAATATGATATAAGTACAGCAGTACAAATTTATAAGCAAAACTTGGGCTAGCTAGCTAGGTGAAAAATAAAAGGGGGGATAATTAAGAAACAGATACAATGGAAGGAAGAAGTAGACATATACATTATAAGAAAACTTCTCACAGAAACCTACCAAAAATTAGGGCTAGGTGTGTTTATGGATGAAGCAAAATACTTTCTTTACTATATCTGGGTATAATTGCTCCTTCTTCCTGCCTTTAAATCCTGCCGGGCATTGGAAAATTGCCAAGAAAATTTGGGATGTTGGGATATTCTAATAACTTCTCACCTTCTCCCCATGAAAAAAAAAAAAACAGAAAACATGGGAAAATGTACAGATAAATCTATAACTGTACTCACAACCAAAAAGTGTACAAATTAATTAATAAAAATGTATAATTTATAATCTCTCAAATGTTTGATAAAAATAACATATATACTTAGGGATCATGACCGAGTCGAAGCTCCAAATCCAATTCATCATCTGCTTCTTCACTGCCACCGTTAAACACTCTCTCCTTGTAATCATCTGATGGCCGGCCCATTCTCAAGCTCGAACTACTCCCTGATCTCCAATCCTGATGATCATCTCTTAGCAAATTCCGATGCCTCGGAAAATAATTTCTTGCACACAAGTCCTCATCACTAATATGATTTGCATGCGGGGGCCTTAACACCCCTGATGTATTAGGTGCAGGCACATATGTTCTATAGTTCATATGGTCATCTGGAGGAGCTATAAAATACTGTGGCGGGTAGCTTTGAATTGCATGGTATACCGCTGCCCTCGGATGACTCTGATCTTCTACCGCCTTGCTAGTCGACGAAGCCAAATTAGTAGGATCCGAACTAGGTCTAGTCTTGGCTCTCTCTCTCCGGTGAATATTCATGTGTCCTCCCAAGGCCTGTGCCGTTGTGAAACCTCTCTTGCAAAACACACACTCGTAAGACCGCCCTGTGCCCATGTCATCGTTCACATCCCGTCGGAGTTCAGCTTCTTCATCAGTACTAGAGGTCTTTGAATCTTGATGATCCGGATGGTTGGATTCCATGCTAAAAAACACCTTCAAGTTTTGGTTTTCTTGGATATATATGATGGTAATATGGATATCGGAAATTAGGGTTTGTAGTTATAGAGAGGAGGTGTTGGTGAAGGGGGCGAGAGGAAACAAGCACAAGGCATAGGTATTGTCATGAGAGGGTTGGGAACTTTGGACTGAAGGTGTTGTTGGGGAAAAATCTTAAAACTTTGCTCAGAGTACTTTCTGTTAAGCCGGCGGAAACTGTATTCTTCTTGTTTACTACTAATTGAACACGCGTTTTCTTAATTATTTAATATTTATTTCATTATTCTATTTGTCTTGAATTAGGGGGGGCTTGCTTTGTCATATCTCTATTGTAGGTGTGATTGTCACACAGTCATCACTTAATGTTTGCTTTTTTTACTTGAAAGAAATTATTGAATGCGCAGTTCTCATCAAGTGACTTACACTTGGTAACTCTGATAACATTTTGAAGTATCAAACCTAAAAAGTTATGTTGTTAAAAGGGAGAATTAAAAAGCACATAAGTATGTGTTATTTTTGTGTGTCGAAATGAAATTATTGTATAACTTTTAAGAAAATATAGGTAAAATCAATATAAAAAAAATTTAATGAAAAAAAATCAATATAATCTTTAGTAATAGTTGGAAATGACTCTTCTATCCTTAATGATTTGACAGAGACTTGAAAGTTGAAATCATAAACTGCATTGCGGTTTCTATTATTCAGTTACTTAGATTCAGACTATGTGTATAGTCAAATTAGTATTATATATTGGGTTTTAGTATGATGATTGTGGAATTGTAATATAAATAAATTGAGTGAAATTTGGTGTTCTAGTACATTAATCAAGATTTTGAATTTTAATACTTTTTATGCATTTAGGTTTCAGGAATTGGTAAATTTGGGATTAACAAAGTTAGTTAAGTTGTGGTTGATTACTTTTGAAATTTAGAATGTGAAATAAAGGTTGAGAGTTTTAGAATGATCAGTAATAAGGATCAAATGTGGTTTGAGTTTTTGGGCTTTTAAATGTTTTTTCTTTTGAGTTGTGGTGAAACCCTTGTGACTAGTGGTTGACATGTCACATGCAAGTTGAATAAGAAAATAATATAATGAAATAAGATTTGCCATACTTCTATAGACAAGGAAGGTGATAAATTAGTCATTACATGTATATTATTTAGGGTTTTTTAGATATTGGTCCGTGTAATTATTACGGGGTAACTCAGTGATTTGGCTCACATAACATGTCCTAAGTTTAATTATTTGGCATTGTTAAATCACATGATGGTGGTTTGATAAAGTTGAAATGTCCATGTGAGTTGCACCTGAATGGGTAAACTGTTGTGGCAAACTCACCAATTGGTCCCTTTTTTTACAAAAGAAACCTTTTTTTTTAACAAACGATATTATTTACACTAAGGGGGAGGAGTGAGTTTAGCCTCATAATGAACTAGCACAACTTATGCCACAATGCCCTAACTATGTTAAATCATTTTAATTATCCACCCAATTATGGCAACTAAATGCCCTATTATAACTCAACTATTCCCTCATGATTTTCTCGTTTTATTTATACTTGTCTAACTTCCATTTCCACTCAAAACCCCCAAAATATTAACTACCTACCAATATAAAACATTAAACTAATTTACACATTTGATAATAAAACATCAATTATTATGGTTTAATGACCTTTGGAGTTACAATATGGTACGTAGTAAAACTACATTTTCAAAATAGAAACAAACCCTTTTAGATTAATGCACCAGATGATTATATATACACATATAACTTAGAAACTTCTAGTTCAAAAGTAAAGCGTATATCAATACGTGGTTTAACCATTAGCGACCAATTAAGATGTAGTCAAGTTTGAATAATGCCACAAATTAAATGATGACATGCAGATACGAAAACAAATTAAAATAATAATTGAAAACAGTTGTTCATGCTGAACTGATCGACGTTACTCATCGCATTCGTGAGGAAAGCTGTAGGAAACTTCCTCCACATGATATATATAATAAGCAACGAACAGTGCATTTTTGGAGCTTACAGTTGTATAAGCATATACTGATTACACCATATAGTTGTGTAAATCAATTACAGAACATACATCAGTTTTGTGTCATCACAATCAACATCGTGCCCTAATTTCAGTAGCTCATGCTTCTGGTTTTAATTTGTATATTATTGTTCAAAGTGATAGGAAAAACTCTGAGCACGACTGGATTTAACAGGTATATGTTTCTATATACATGTTTCTTTCAGCGAATTGTTTCGCAACATAAAATGTTTATAATGTGAAATTGTTAATATTGGTTCGTTCATCATGACTCATGGTAATATCATACGTACGTGGTATGTTAAACATAACTCTCCATCGCGCCTATATATATAATATTGTATAATATCATGTGTATATAATATGTATAAGAATGCAGGCCAAAATATAATAATTTAGTGTAGCAGGTTACTGGCATTAGGTATATGTCGTCTGCAAATTAGCACAAGAGGTTTACATGAAAAATGACTGGACTACATTAACTCCACAAACTATTAGTTAATAATAAAACTAATCTTCGGCAATTATATATTTTTCTTGAAAGAAATGAAATTCATTCTATATGCGTGAATGAACATGTTGTGTGTAACATCCCACATCGTCTAGGGGAGTGGATCATTTAAGCCTTATATGTATATTCACATCTCCACCTAGCATGAGGCATTTTGGGAACTTACTGACTTCGGGTTACATTGGAATTCCGAAGTCAAGCGAGTTCGCACGAGAGCAATCCCAGGTTGGGTGACCCACTGGGAAGTTCTCGTGTGAGTTCCCAGAAACAAAACCGTGAGGGTGTGGCAGGGGCCCAAAGCGAATAATATCGTGCTATAGCAGAGTCGAGCCCGGGATGTGGTGGGGGCCCAGGCCAGGATGTGACAATTTGGTATTAGAGCCAACCCTGGTCGGATGTGTGCTGACGAGGAAGTCGGGTTCCTAAGGGGGGTGGATTGTAACATCCCACATCGCCCAGGGGAGTGAATCCTCTAAGCTTTATATGTATATTTTTATCTCTATTTAGCACGAGGTCTTTTGGGAACTCACTGGCTTCGGATTCTATCGGAACTTCGAAGTTAAGTGAGTTCGCGCGAGAGCAATCCCATGATGGGTGACCCACTGGGAAGTTCTCGTGTGAGTTCCCATAAACAAAATCGTGAGGGCGTGGTCAGGGCCCAAAGCGAACAATATCGTGCTACGGTGGAGTCGAGCCCGGAATGTGGTGGAGGCCCAGGGCGGGATGTGACATTGTGTCACTATATAATATACATGGACAAAAACATCTTAACATTCACTCCACACTTTTACTATATATGAATCCGTCATACAACTTCTACCTTGTTATCCTGCTATTGAATATGTACGAAAACAACCGAAGAACACACTATTTTTTATAGAATAGTGTTTGGCTGCTGAAAAAAAAAAAAGGAGTAGTAAATACTCCTGAAATAAACAAGTGTCCAATCACAAATGAATACGTATCTGAACAATTAAAGAATTGAAACTTGAACCAACATCACTCCAAATGACCCGAAAAAAATATCAACAACCCGCAAAAAAGTAATCTCTCATAGATCTGTCCTCCCCACACAACCACCCTTATCTGACTTCCTCACATCAAAGCTCTTCTTCGACCTCCCAACACATTCTGAAATCCGGATTGAGCCTTAGAGGTCGAGCCTTGGTTCTTGGCCTGGTCATTTGGAATAGTGGTGTTTTTTTCTCATAGTTTCTAATTTCAATTGTTTAGACTAGTTTCCATTTTTAATTGGATTTTCAGAAAAATTTGCTGCTTTCTTTTAGTAGCTAAGCATTATTCTTTTATATTTGATTAATTCAAATTAATCTCTGTATCATATCCTTTTCTGATGTGGGCGACAAAAAGGTGCATAGTTTAAAATAATGAGTGGACAAAACCTCAGTTCATGTTAATCTTTATCGTTGAATTTTGTCTCCAAGTAGAAGACGAAAGGTTTAAGAATTATTAAGAAGACGATTAAGACTAAGTCTGCAGGGAAATTTCTAAGAAGAAAAGATGGAATTACATGCATTCATGGACAAGCAAGAAGATGATCATGAACATGAACAACAACAACAACGTGAGTAATGCTGCAACAAACCTCAATTCCCAATCAAAATCATTTGCATCTTTTAATTTGAGTTTTAATGACCTTTCTGTTTGTTGTTTGTTGTCTTTAATTTGTTAGCTAATAAAAAAACGGAATTTAATTGGTTCTTCCTCTATCCGACCAAATCAAACTCTAAATCTTCACAATACTCAATCTTTTTTCCTAAAGAAATTCATGAATTATTTTTTAAAACTTTTTTATAACAGTGTATCAATCACACTCTTTTTTCTGCTCTTAGGATTACTTTAAAATTGAACATAAAAATACAGAGCCATGAATATTTACAAAAAATTTAGAACCAAAGTTGGCAGACGGAACTGCCTGTCAACAATTGACCCACCGGCTTCCAGAACCATTGCATAATATTAACATATAAATAAAGTTTTTGGAATTTTATTGAGTTTCCTTGCTGAAGCCGGTGTTTAGACCGAAATTGATGGATCCTTTGTCGTTTGCAGTTTTGAAACATTAATCTCAAATAGTCAAGCTTTCAAATGGGAACATCTTTCAAAGTTCAAACTGAATAAAGAGAAGAGATGAAAGCTATTTTGAGGAAGAAAAGAGAAGAAAAAAAATGTTCCACAGTTAATAATTAATCTTAATTAAACATCAAGCAGTTGGTCTAGTAGAAAGCGAGCAAAAGTTTGGAGCCCTGAACCAAGTTCGAACTCCAACGGATACATTTTTTAGGGTCAACGAATATGCTTCACCATACCTGGAGACTAAAAGTATGTTATTGTCTCATGCATTACTGAGGTTGCATGAATAATGAGATTAGTCTATCACGAATATATGGTGGGATACCTCCTATATTCAAATAATAATAATAAAATAGAAGTTAACGTTAATTGTTTGTAATTAACTAATTCATTGTTTTGGTGTGGATATGAAATGGTGTATGCTAGATGGTCAAGAAATTTTGAAACATATGAATACAACACGAATAATTTAGTTTAACAAAATGTCAGATTAATTGCTTAGTGTGTCTAACACTCTAAGTAGTTTAACTTATACAAGAAGAACTCAAAGAAAGATGATTAGAACTAAATAGATGGACACTCTAATTACTCTTGTTTTTCTCTTCTTCTTGTTCTTGTTCTTCTTCTTTTTTCCTTTGGCTGCAAAATCTATTAATTCCCTCCTGATTGTAGCATAGTACTGTGAAGTGTTTTAGGATTAGAATCAATAGATTTTTCAGTCTAATTGTATTTTTTTTTCTCCCAATATTAAAAGACATTTCGAATTTGAATCCCTTTTAGATAAAGGCAAAAAAAAAAAAAAAAAAAAAGGAGAGCACTTGATTAGCCTATAACAATCGTCCAAACAATAAAATGTTTGCTATTATTTAATATTAACCCAATGTGGTGTTTTGGGGAGAATTGGAGAAGGGAAAAAAAGAATCCAAAAGATTGAAATATTCCTCATTTTATGGCGAGTTTGTATGAGAATGTGAGGACAAAGTTCTATAGCCATGTGAGACCAAACCATGTAATAACTTATATTGAGTTGTGTTACTTCTCATATTATCAATTAGTTTTATGAAGGAACACCAATAGTTTTGGTATTAGAGCAGATTGACCCACGTGTGAAGCCCAACAGTCACACGTGATTCACGTCATCCAATTTGTGTTATCCATGTGTTAGGCTTGAAAATTCGCCACACATGAGGGGCATGTGAGAATGTGAGGACAAATTCCCATATCGGTGAGTGACCAAACCATACAAGGGCTTATAAGAAGTTGAACTACTCCTCATATTGCCAATTGATTCAATGGTGAAACCTTAATGTTCTTCAATTTGATTTGATTTCAATTTATTTCTCAGTTCGATCCCCCCCCCACCAAAAAGACATAACCAATCTAGCGTTCCTGGCACATTGAAAAATCTCTCGTCCTCAGCCTTGTTCTCATTTTCACTATATTAACCTATCTTAATTTTCTAGTATGCTATATACATCGAGTTCCTTTGTCAAAGATTCAATATTCAATATCTAACTATAAGAAATCTCCATATCTTTAATAAGACTAGTACAAAATACAATGAAAACATTTGATGAAAAGGATTTCGATTTTGTTTTTGGTAAAAAGAAAAAGAAGTAAGAAATATAACGAATAGAGGAAGGAGGTGCATGTACCATTTGTTTTTAGGTGGAAGAAAGAATTAAGAGGGTGGGGATGGTGACGTGCGCCGACTAGCCTATACTTTATCCCATGCCCTCATCTTTCACAAAAACAAGCACTTTGGCAGGTTCTGTCCTACTCACCCAGATGTCCATTTTTCTTGCCATTTTCTTCTCTAAATTAAACTTTAATCTTCTCACCTCATTTCAAACTTCAAACTCCATCCAACTCCCCCAATGACCACCCTAGCTTTTATTTACCAATCTCCTTTTCACAAATATCCCGTTAACTGTTCATCTTTCTTTCCTGAAACAATATCTATTAATTTATTAAATAAAAATCTTGAATGGTAGTAGTATAGTGGAGAGAGAGAGAGAGAGAGAGAGAGAGAGTGTGGTGTCATTTATCTAGTTTTGGGTTGCATTGGGCAAATTATGAGGTTCCAAATAAGGAAGGCCATCATGCAACTGCGAGACTGGGGATTTATGGGGAACATGCAAAACATCAGAAGTCGGGAAATGCAAATCTCTGGACCCTGGTGAGACAGATCTCCCGATTTCTCTGCAGCAGAGAGAGAGAGAGAGAGAGAGAGAGAGAGAGAGCAAAAACGCAAAATTAACCACCAATGTGTTGCATCGAGTTGGACATTCGACGAGGCAACACATACGTGACATGCAAAAATATTGATTATTTTGCATTCATAATTATGTCCTGCTCTAATTTGCATTAATTTGACATGCAATTGTGATATCTCTAATATTTGACGTACGTACGTAGGGGATCAAATCATGATGCAGATATTACATGTTAATGTTCCCTCCAGCTGCTGACAAGTCATGACAATATCCTGGCTATAAGCTATAGCCATAAATGTTGTTCTTTCTTCTCTCATATATTTTCATGAAAATATTTTGAATCCAATGGAGTGCACGTACAGCTCTGATTTAAGCAGGAGCAAGTTTTATTCCGGTTGTAAATTGTAATATATAGTACTACTCGTTTGTAAATCCAATTTTCCTTTTTGTAGACTACAGATTTGTTAAAGGTTAAAGCCAGGGAAAATAAAAATATTGGTGCTTAATTTTTGCTTCTTAAATTTGCGTAGCCTTAAAAAATCTTCTTTCCCTTCAAGTAAAATTAGAACTGCTATTCTGACTATCCTACTGTTTATAAACTAATATTCTTTTACTTATAGTTACGGTAATTACTCGCAACTACGTAGTGTAGTAAGTAATCAGATTTGAATCTTCTGCTTGGTTTAACTGTGCTAGGCTTTTTCTTTGACCGAATTAACTTAGCTAGTTAGCTAATTAAACTGCTCAACATTGGAATAATTGAATAATAAAGCAAAAGTACATACATGCAGATCTAATATTTTCAATATGTAAGTATTATTGATGAAGATTAACTATATATGTAGTTATATAACAATGTATACAAACAGTACTACATATATGCACTTAACATACATGATCAAATTTGTGCTCATTTGCACAAGAAAGGATAGAGCAACAAAGATCATATAACTAAGCTTGCAGGAACTATAACTTTTAAATTTAATTATGAAAAAAAGGCCCTCTTTCCATGCTATACAATTTTGCTTCCAGTTTTCCCATTTCCAAGAAAGTAAAGGAAGGAAAAAAAGAAAGAGAAAGAAGATGCAGGTTTGCATTTCCTAGAGAACAATCACAAGAGAGAATATCAACTATACAACCATCCCTTTTCTTTGAAACAATTAATGATATATCTCAAACAGTGTAGCAATCCAATGCCGTTTTATGAGACAGCTCAGCTCTATTTGCACGATCACCCACACAAGGACCAGCCAGTAACCCAACAATATACCACCACATGAAATATCAGAACAAGAAAAAGAAAAATGAAAATGTCAAGATTAATTAGACTAAAGACATTTTGCAGGACTGAATTTGCACAGAAATTAAGCACGCCATGAAGTAGATTAGTAGCTTAAGTACTTAAGAAATTAACTGAGAAATAAAGACAAAAAAAGCAGAAATAGAAGGTTGCACAGACATATATTTAATCATCGCAATAGATCTATTCTAAAAACTCCGCCTTCTCAAAGCATCTGATCTAATTTCATTGTAATTAGAGAAACCCCAAAAGTAAGAATATTGCACCTAAAGATGCCCAAGTCGAAGTTCCAGATCCACTTCCTCCTTGTGATCTTTGAGCAACCCTATGTCCAAATCCAAGTCCAACCCCAAGTCAACCCTAATTATATTATTCTCTTTCTCCAGATCAATCTTGTTGAAGTACTCATCATCTCTTTGTGCAAAACCCTTAAATGTGTGTCCAGCCTCATGCTCAACACCACCTCCCATGCCTTTCTTGGGAATCAGATCAGGAAAGTGATTTTCCGGCCAGTAGTCGTATCTCAGTTTCTTATTTTCATCCATAGATGAAGCTGATGAAGGTGCAGAGACCCGAGTCCTCAGAGAAGGAGAAAACAAGGAATGACATGATGAAAGAGATGAGGACGATGAAGTAGCAAAATAAGAGCTAGGGTTAGGGTTTTGAGGACACATTTCTGAAGAAAGGGTATGAGGAAGGAGTCTCAGCCTAGCTCTGTCTCTTCTATGGACATTCATATGACCCCCAAGAGCTTGAGCAGACCCGAACTCTCTCTTGCAAAAGCTACATGCGTAGTTTCTTGTAGCCCATGAAATATCACATAAATTTTCTCCTTCAAAGAAGTTGATACAATCCATTGATCTCGATCTCTTCAGTATCTTGCCACAAGTACTCAACTGATCCTTCAGTTCATCAAATGAAACATAAAAATAAAAAAATAAAAAAACAAATTTATAATCATGTTACAATGAGTAAAATGAAAACCCCATTTTCAATTTCACAGCTTGAGAGAGAGAGAGAGAGAGAGAGAGAGAGAGAGAGAGAGAGAGAGAGAGAGAGAGAGAGAGAGACTCACTGAGCAGTTGGATCAGAAAAGTAGTAGTTCGGATCGAGGAAAGCTAGCTGAGCTGAGACTGAAATAATGAAGACCCTATTTGATATGAAACTACTAAATAAAGGGCAAAATGCTGATACTATATCTGGATATTACTTAGCAACGGAAGTGTACAGACTTAAAAGACAGTGCTTTAACTTTTCGCCGATTCTAGGAGAGAGATGTCTAGCAAATGTGCCTTACTCTACAAATTTAATACATGATGCGAGGGTTTTGTGGTCAGTGGGAATAGGAGGAATATGGGAATATGTAAAAGCGTATGACGTTTAAAAGCACACTAAGTACTTGAAGGGTGTATAATTATTTGTACAGGACTTGCAGTATATAATAGCATATATAGCTTGATGAAGTCCCACCACAGGATTTTGCATTAATCCCAATAATTGTGGTTGTATTATATAAGAATCCCTTGAAGTTTGTATATTCTTAGAGATTGAATTTGACAAAAGTCCTGAGCTTGAAGATCTCTGGCTCTATTTATAGGCAGTTGAAGAAGTAACCTCGATCATATCGGATCGCTGACCTGAAGCAGGAGTAAATTAGTCATTTGACGCTGATAATGACTGCAATTTGTGGTTATTGGCCTTCTGTTGAGATTTACTGCGTATTGCACAATTGGCATGATGGCATCATCCTGTCTGGTGTCGCATTCTCGTCATTTAAGGAAGCGAGAGATTCCCGTGTCTGGTCGTCCATGTGGGATGTGGCAGATGCTCTTCAGGGTGGGTCGAGTCCGAGCCCTAGGACAACAATGGAGTAGTGAGAGGTAGTCGTCCGAGTCCTAGGGAGATATCCTAGATTGGGTTTTGAAGCTGGTGGGCTGATATTGCATGACCTTGAGTAAATAAAAATAAGGGTTTTTATCACAAATAGTCCTTGAAATTGAACCACCCCTTCAAGATGGTCATTGAAATTGAATGCAGTCCCTGAAAATGGGTGTCGCAATTCAATGTGGTCATTCTGTCACAATTTCATTGAAAATTCTATTACGTGCTGATGTGTCACATAAGTAGGTCTCACAAGTCTAATAATATATTAGCATATATATTAAAAGTATTTAAATAATAAAAAATAATAATTTTTAGGGTGCTTTAGATTTTGGCCCTTACAACTCATTATTTCTAGATAAAAACCCATTTATCTTTAAAGATCCAGTTTAAGCCCAAATTTAAAATTTGCAAACATATGGGAACACTATTGACCTATTAATACAATTTATTTGCACTCATGCCACTCATACTTTATGGTCCCTTTTCCAAATTCCTAAATTTATGCCAAATTAAAAGTAGTAGAAAAAGTGAAATAAAATGTAAAAAGTGTTTGTATGAACCGTGTCCATGTCAAACTAGAAAAGTAGTTTTTTTTTTTTCATGATATATTTTGTAGCAATTTTACCCATATTAATTGGTAGGTAAATTAGTTTGTTCCAATTATTTTTTTAAAAAAAATACTACACCTATATTATATATTTTGAATCAAATAACATTCCTCTAACTTGTAGGTAAATTATTTTCTATGTATTGTTATATATGTTAGACACATTTTGTTGTTGTATAAACATGAGTGGAACATAATATTGTTGATTTTATACATCAAACTGCATTTCTTTTGTTATAGGTAAATTATTTTCCATGTACAAGTACTTATGTTACGCACGTTTTGTTGTTGGTACATACAATATTTTGTATCATTGCAAAGAAAGATATTACATTACACCCATGGTATAATTGTTGTAGGTAAATTATTGGAAAATAATTTGTAGTTAGGTAATGAACATTTTGCATCATTAGAAATGAACATTTCAAATAGTAGGTAGGTAAATTAATTTGTTCTAATTATATAAAAAAAGAATTACACTACACCTAGTTATATTTAATTTTTCCAATTATTAAAAAAATTTATACTACACCCAACCAAATAACATTTATCTAACTTGTAGGTAAATTATTTTCCATGTATTGTTAGACATGTTAGGCACGTTTTATTGTTGTATAAACATGGGTGTAACATAGTATTTTTAATATTGTGCATCGAACTACATTTCTTCTTAATATAGGTAAATTATTTTCCATGTATTAGTACATATGTTAGGCACGTTTTGTTGTTGGTATAAACATTATTTTGCATCATTGTAAAAAAGAGATATTATATTACACCCATGGTATAATTGTTGTAGGTAAATTAATGTGCATGTAGATAATGAAATACAATGTTCTAATATATTAATAAAAAAAGGATAAATTCAAAAGTATTCAAGAGTAGGGTGAAAAAAATTGAATCAAATAGTTTTATGAAAATTCAAAGCCTTTCTAAAAAATTAATATACAATAAATTTTTAACATTAACGTCTTCTTTTTTTCTTGCTGCAAAATCATTTACTCTCTCCTTACAATTAATTGTCTACATCAAATATATAATAGGGGTATTTTAGGCATGTGAAAAATGTAAAATGTGTGAAGTAATATGAAATTAATGAATTTGCTTATGTGGATCCTAATCATTGGGTTTTCTTTGAGTAAAAAAGTTATGTAGGGTTTTATATGAAGAAAATTGAGTTGGAATGACTAAAATCATATTTTCAGTAATTTTTATGCCAAAATTAAAAAATAAATTTTTTTTCCTTCCGTTGTCTTCCCTGCGCAGGCTTGGCTACCATGGCAGCCCTGCCCACTCCTAGCAAAAGCCAAAAAAATCCTATGGGTGTTGAGGGTTTTGCCGAAATCTTCTGCTACTCGTTGGAAAGATTGGTGCGAGGCCATCAGTCTAGGCCTTAGGTGCAGCAGTAGATCGGAGGATATGATGGGGAGGAGGTTGATGTCAGCGATGTTGGAGTCGGAAATGGAGAAGATGGTTTGGTTCGACTAGATTTTTATCGTGGTAATTCGATTGGGTGGTGAGGTGGTGCCAATTATGTTAGAATGGGTCGAGTGCCAAAAATTGAGCCATGGTGGGCAGGGTTGCCACGATGGGCAAGACTGCAGCCAAGTTTGCTTGACGGGCGACATGAGATTTTTATTTTTTTAATCATAATTTTTATTTTGACATAAAAAATTATTTTTTATTATTTAAATATTTTTAATTCCATGGTAATATTTAATTAGAGTTGTAGGACTCACTTATGTGACACATTAGCACATAACATAATTTTTAACGAAATTATTACGGAATGACCAAATTTATTTGTGACGCTCAATTTCAAGGATCATCTTGATGAGGTGTTTCAATTTCAAAGATCATTTGTGATAAAAACCCTAAACATAAAGGAAAACTTATGAAAAAAGCTTCAAATCTTTGCATTTTAATAAAAAAATCATCTACTAACTTTATTTAATAATAATGACAAAAAAATAAAAAATAAAAAATAAACACAAAAAATCCAACTCGAGTTGGGCGCGTGCCCCCCCCCCCCCCAACTCCCCATTTCCCCACTTCCCTCTTTTCTCCCATTGACAGCTGCATTCAGATTAGGGCTGGTTCGGGTCAGGATCCCAAACCGAAACCCAAAGCCCGAATCCCAAACCGACTCCTTTCAGGATGCAATTCTAAAACCCGAAACCTTATTAAAATTTTGGTGTTCCCAAATTTCGGGATTCCCGAAATTGTTTCGATTTTTCGGTTCGGGATCGGGAATGACTACAGTCCTAATTTAGAAGATCGAATCAATGCAGATCCTAAATCCCAAATTTACAAACAAACCCTAAAAATTCAGAGATTCAACAATACAAAGATCGAAGAAGCCTTCGATCAAAATTCAAAATCAGAAAGCCAAATATAAACATATCAAGCAGTAATTGAAATAAGGGGATTTTCATTCATTCTAAATCTCCAAATTGAAAGTTCAAAACCTTCTCAACTTTAGAATCCAAATCAAAATCAAGGTACAATAATTTCATGAATTTTGACACCTTCATTATCATATCAGAGAAGCTTCGGTTTGGAGGTTGTTCGAGGTGGAACCATGGAAGCCTGGATTTGGAATATGGAGGAGTCATAGAGGTGTGGTGGTCGGTTGGACGTGTTGAGTCTGCTCATAAAGGGAGGAGGAGAAGAGTAGAGTGTAGAGACGATTCGAGAGATTAAAGAGAGTGTTGAGTTTGTTGACATAGCTGAGGAGGAGAGGAGAGAGTGCAAAGATATTTGAGAGGTTAGAGAAAGAGTGCAGGTGGTCTGAGTGAGAGGGAGTGCTGACACATTTGAGAGATTAGAGAGAGTGAGGTCTTTTACCCAACGGTTACAATTTATTCTAATATATATAATATATGATAAATAAATGTATAATATGTATACAAATCGGTTCGGGATTACCGAACATCTGCCAACCAAGTCCCAATTCCCGTACCGAATTCCTAGGATTTTTTCGGGATTTTTCGGTTTTGAATTCAGGAATTTTCGGTCGGGTTCAGGTAATTCGGGATTTTTTTCCAACCCTAATTCAGATTATTATTATTATTATTATTATTATTAATTTTTTATTTTATTTTTTTGCTTAGAATTAGAAAAAAAAAACTTCAAATTAAATTACATTCCCCAATTATATTTTTATGGTGTTGTTTCCCAATAGTAGTCAAGATGACGAGAGATTTTTTAATGTGTCTAGAACACAGGTGGGTGTTACACCAAGTATCTCTATATAAGTGGTGAGATTCTTTTGTTAAAAAATTAATAACATAAAATATTAAAATTTCCCACCACTTATATAATAACACGTGGTGTACCACTTGTATTACCGGCACAAGGAAAAAAATCTATCCAAGATGACACACATTATCAAGAAATTGGATGACGAGCTCCATTTATTATTGTAGGTATGTAAAAAATGTGAGGGAGTTTGAATTTGGTAATTGAAAACAACTTTTAAAATATAATTACTGAGAACGTAATAATCTTCTCAAGGTTTTAATCTAAAAGACCACTTATAGGTTCATCGTTTTCAGCGTAATATGTGCTTTTATAGGACCAAAAAGGGTATAAATTTCAAATTTTATGAAACTGAACCAAGAATTATACATTATTTATAAAACTTGACCAATAAGTTGACACTATTTATGAAACTAGATCAATAACTAGACACTATTTATGAAACTGGACGAATAAGTAGACATTATTTATGAAACGAAACCAAGAATTAGGCACTATTTCTAAAACTAAACCAATATGTTGAAACTATTTATGAAACTAGACCAAGAACTAGGCACTATTTGTGAAAGTTGACAAAT